TTTAAAGATGTCAAGCTAGTACGTGTATTTTGACCAAAATTTGTGTCTCGACTTGGGTTTATACGCGGCCACTTTGTAGAACGATTGAACGGCAGAGATCTCTTGAATTAGTACTTTTCTGAATACCTCCCATGAATGCTCGCAGCATTATACCTCGTTAAAAAGTTACCGTGTGTGTTCTTTTTTATTTATTTATTTATTTATTTATTTATTTACTTATTTAAAAATAGATAGGCAAAGGTTTTTTGATATAATAGAATTATAAGAATATTGTATCAGTGTAAAAATATATATACACATGATATAAGAAAGTAAGAAAGAAAGAAAAAAAGAAAAAGAAAAAAAGAGAAATTAAGAGTTAAATATATAATCTCAATTATAATACAGCAATATATTATAATATAATATAATATTGGAAAAATTAGTTAATTATTTTCAAAACAGACCGTTTATAATTTTTAATAGTTAATTAATTTTTACTAGAAATCTATTCGGTTCGTTAATAGCCAAGCAAGTTCTCGTAATTAGGTACGTGAATCTAAGATTGGTAGAGAAAAACTCAGTTTAGAAAACAGAAGTTTTTCGCAAAAACTGTGAATATGCGTTAATGTCAATCAGATGGAGAAGCCGAGGACTAGCTATAAAATTATTGATAATTTTGATTAATCTTTCTTCTACTCTTCGCATTATAAGTTCATGTCCGTACATATGTTCCCAAGTGAATGAGAAACAAAACATAAAAATTCATGTTGATTTTTTTCAACAAGATTAATATATTAACATAAAGACCAGATCATATATATATTAGCATATTCCAAGAACGGTGATTATACAAAGCTTGAAAAGTGAAAAAATTATTAAAATTTCTGTATAATTGGAAGACAAATCTGAGGGTCTTGTTAGCTTTGTTAACCGCATTTATAATATGAATAATATGAATAATATAAAAATTAAACTTTTTATCGTAAAAGATTCTTAAAATAATTGGCAGAAGAGGGGTGAGAATCAGAAATAAAGTAGGAATATATATATTTATATATAGTTATATTTCTATTATAGTTATATTTCTATTATGCGTCAATCTCATCTTGTGACACCTGACATTGAACCGCAAATTATTCTGTATATATCGTAATGCAAATCTATTAAGACACTCTGCAAATTGTGGGCATTAGAAACATCTCATATTTACAAACAATCTGAGGTAATTTGCAAAAAAGAAGAGATGGCCTTTTTAAGTATTGTACGAAGCTCAACTGTAAATCTTGGAGCTCAACTTAGGATTATTTTATCGAGATTGCGGCGGATTGATCGGATACGCCTGGATGTATATTAATCACATGTTTACTTTACACGACGATTAATTCGGAAGTAAGGGAAAAAATAAAAGAACGAAAGGAATTATGTTGCATTTGTCTTGACACGATTTGGCACGATGTATTTAAAATATAATGCTTTCCAACATTCATAAATAAAAATTATTCAAAGCATCTTGAAGCACTTCTGACGGAGCCTTGAAAGACTTCGAATAGTGATCTAATATGTTGAAAATGATGTAGTATAATCGCATAGCATCGATGATTTCAAAGCCCGAAATCGAAAGTTTAGCAGATAGAACATCATGGTCTGCAGAGTTGAAGGCTTTCTTAAAGTCCATGTAAATACTATCTACTTGATATTTGCTATGAACAACATAATTGCTAAAAATTGCTAGATCATTGGAAGATCTGTTTGGGAAAAAAGCTGTATTAATGAATTGAGATATGGTTTTTAATAATAGACATTAACCAAATTAATCAAATATTTTTGCGAACGTATTGAAAATAGAAATTGATCTACAAGGTAGATGAGCTAAATGGGATTATCTAAATACCTCCGTTATCTTTTGTACAAAAAAACTTCTGAGGGCAAAGTTGCACTATTTTAAGAAACAAATATAATGCTAGAAATATTTTTTTTAAAATATTTTTTTTTACGATTAATTTCTTTTTATATGGTACATGTAGTTGTACATGGTAATCACTTTTACCACGGTGAAAAGATTTTAAAATGTAAACTCGCGTAAATAGGGTGAAAATGAATGAACCATTAAATACTATTTTCAATAACTATATGTATTTCTTTATTAGATGATTATGGCGATTAGGCATAACGAATTGCCTTTTTGTCCTGCAGGAAGGTCATTTGTTTTAAGAATGAAAACAAAATCAAAAGGGTGGAAAAGGAGGGGGGAGAGGCTACTATACGTCGCTTTACAAATATACATTTTTTTTTTAAATTCCTTTTAAAATTAAAAAAAAAAAATAAAAAAACATTATCATTATCAGTATAATGTATTATTGCAGATGTAACTTTCATTTAACGATATAAAAAGTGTATAAAATAGTATGTCCTTGAAATAATCGTATTCGTAAAATTTGGCACTAAGATTTTAAAAAATACAAAAAATGAAATTAATCATTTTGGCTTGTGAATGACTCATATAATATATATATTTTTAAAGATGATTAGCCTTAAAAAGGCTATTATCAAGCTGTAAAGGATAAAATATTTTATAATGACAGTGTAAGAAATAATGAAAACTTCATCATTTTTCAAGAGAATAATCAAATTGTAACGTTGTAATGGTTTTTTTGCAACTTTGATTTTTGCAATGAGTAGATTACGATGCAAATAAAAAAAAAGACTCTTAATCTTGAATTTCAATGATAAATACCACAATTTCCTTTCAATCTTATTAAAGAAATATTGATTGAACAATTATTGTATAGTAAATACATCTAATGTACAATATATAGTTTAATAATACAATTCACACTAAATAAATTGAGTAACTCGAATATGATTGTTCAAGTAAATTAAAAATAAATTTAATTTCTTCAAATTAAGTTGAATGTTCTTAAGCGAATGTTGAAAGCAATTTGTAAATGTTCAACTTTTATAATATATTTGTTTATGATATATTTCTATAATAATTCAAAATAATAATTATATTTAATTAATATAATAGTTTTATAATAGAATGAATTAAAAGAAAAAATTATTTTCAGAACAAGAACACTAGAAAAAGAATTTCTCTAAAAGAAATGGATATTTATTTTTAATAAGTAACATGTCTATCTGTAACATATTTTTAATATATATTAAGTAGCTTAAGAATTTGAAGATATTAATTTGTATTTAAATAAATTCAGTGTAAGAAAATTATTTACATAGCTCGTGTTATATATTTATAATTAATTTTATAAAACATAATTCTAAATAATATTAAAAAATAATTTGATATTCAAATAAAATAAATTTATTTATTTATTTTACTCAAGTGCATTAATACATATTTAATTATTTAAGTAATAATTATATTCATATTTAATTATTTAAGTAATAATTATATTCGAGCGAATTAAAAACACACATATATAGATACATACAATAATTTTTGTCAGAAAGACAATTTTTTAATTTATTAGTAGATTAATTGTAAAAATAGATATTACAACAAAATTTATATATGTATAATTGCAACTGATTTCATTTGTAGCATAATTGTAATTGATTTAATTTTCTTTATAATTTCACATCACATTAAATTAATTTTACATTACAATTAATATTAAGATTTTTATTAAATATTTTCATATTAAAACAGTAAATAATATGTTAATTTTTGACATATTATTGTCAATCTTTTTATGAATGTTTCTACAATAGGATTATACAATATGACTTGTTCTCGTATAGTTTAATTATCACCACAAATCAGTATAACTGATTATTACTTGAATCCTGTAATATGATTTAAACTTTAAATAATAAATTTTTAAACTGCTGCAGTAGTATATCTGCATTTTACAATATAGTCAAAAATATTCAAGTAGTAGATAATGCATCATATGAAACAAAATTTTTCCACGGATTTAACAAAATACATTATTTTTAAATTGAAAATATCATGGAAGAGATTGATTTGTAGTTTAAATATTTTTTCTTAAAAATGATCCATGTTTATTATCCATATAAACTGTTTTTCATGCGTATTTAGCAATAATGAAATAGCGTAAACTAAAATCAAATGATATGGATTTGTGATATATTCTTAGGTTGATTTATGCTATTTTATACATCGTTTACGGCATTTAAAAAGTATAATTACACTCTTTTTTAAAATAAGAAATTTTGAGGCTTTACTTTCCAATTATTACGTAATTATTAAAATCAAAGATAACTTTTTAAATAATGAAAACTTTTGGCAGATTTTTCGTTGCATCAGTGTATTTGATAACTTTTTATTAAAATAGAAATATTCATTTAGCTCGAACCATTCTGCATGTTCTAGTACAATTAATATTGAATTTTTCTTTTTATTTTATTCACATTTTACTTTTTTCATTTTTAATCTACATGTTTTGCTTATTATTGTATTGTTATATTGATATTAAATAAAAGAAGTGGCAATTTTCAGAGTATGTACTTCATTTGACAACAATTGAGACGCAATTATTTTACATTTTTATTCAATTGATAATACCTAAAACAATCCTAATACATATATCCAATATTATATAGAAATATAAAATATTATAAATTGTCTTATATACTTAGAAATAAATTATATCTTATATACTTAGAAAATAGAAAAAATACAATAGAAAAGTACTTAAAATGCAGAAGAAAAATAATTGAATATTTTATAATTATCCAATGATAAAACATGCATATTAATATATGTATATTTGTACTGAAAAGATTAAGCAATTAAGGAATTTTTAAATAAGTTTAAGATAAGATAAACTATAAATATTTAACATCTTTTTGAACTTTTTAAAAATTCTACATATTAAAAATAGATGTATTCTATTTTAAAAAAGAGTGTAACTTTTATCTTTAAATACATTAACCGATAAAATTGCATGAGAATATATATTATTTAATTTTGCCTTATGATATTTATAAAATAAGACGATATGCATTCTATAATAAAATTTTTATAATTTATATAGACTCGAAGTGCCAGAGTAAGTGTTAGCAACGAAAATAATGTATTACTCGATCCAGAAGTACTGACCGATTTCTCAACCCAAACTTTGGTTTTAACTGTTCTGGTCACTTTGGTTAAAAATTCAACTAATGAAACTGAGCAGCGGATTCTTTATGAATATCTTGCGGAAGCTTCAGTGGTGTTTCCAAAAGTTTTTCCAGTAATGTAAGTCTTTATCTTTCAATATTATGTATTAAAAGAATCAACAATAATTATTAATAATTATTAAATGTTACAGTAAGTTATTTATTTTAAAGATTTTTTTCATAATTTTAAGTAATAATAATAAATATAATTCATTGCACTAGTTTTTGTAATAATTTAAGGCATACTAAAATATGTGCACCTAACTTCAGAGTTAGTTTTAGTATTTAATTACTATTACATAAAAATAGAAAGTATGATAAAAATATTAAACAGTATAAAATTCTTGTGTTACAACTGCTTCTGTTTTTAAATAATTGGGTAAATCATAATGTTAATTATATAATTTAAATTATAAATTTGCAGATTTATAAATTGATATTTAAAATTTGTGTTTACAATTATCCATTAAGATGGCACTATATCAACTTTTACAGTTTTCTGTTTTACATTAATTACAGTATATAATTGCAAAATAATACTGTAATATCTATAATTGTACTTAAGTTCTGAGTTAATATGTTATGAATTGAAGCATTAGTTAAGTATGTAGGGTATGAATATATCCAATATTGATCTAACCGCAAAGTATTTACTTGAGTGTTATGATAATTTAGGGTGAATCATGTAACTAAATCGTCTTGAATATTTCCGTTTTTGAAGATAGGAAAAAACTTTATTAACAAAAATTATTTAGTACAGAGGGAATCTAATATGGGAACATAATATGAAGATAATAATGCTTTTGTAGGTAAAAGAGTTCAAGGTCATTTGAAGATCACTTTTATTTTTTTAAGTGAAACTTTTATTTTTTTATTTTTTGCTCCTTTAGTCAATGCTACTTAACATTCTCTATAAAAAAATATTAACTTTACGTATGTTAAAAAACTGTTAAGAGATATTTTAACTTTAATTCTGCAAAATCTATTGTATGAATCCATATTTTTTTTTAGAGACTAAAAAGCTACAAGATTGCAAAAAAATATAGTTATAAAAATTTATCACTGTTATATTATAGTTTCTCTTACACTAATCAATTTTTATCCAAAGTTTTTTCATATCTTCTATAAAATCTATGTATATGAGAGTTCTACGTGAATATGTATATATTTTTTTTCTTTTAATGTTCTAAATTCACTCTTTAATTTTTTTAGAATTTCTCAAATATATGTTTTAATGCAAAAGATCTCTTTTAACATCTTTTTTTTCAACTTTTCAATCATTAACTACTAACTTATACTAATAACTTACTAATAACTTGTTATTATAATGTATATACAGGATGTTCCAGCATAGTACATGTGAAGTGGAAGTGATTCTACGTGAAAAAATAAGTTGAAAATAAAAAATAAAATTAATATCATTCGTAATATTGATTAGTTATTAATACGTATTTATGAATGAGTTTAGAAATAAAAATAAGATATGTCTATAATTTCAAAACTTTACTGTGTTATTAATGTAGAAATTATTGAAAATGCTGCTCATTGTGTTGCATACATAACCATATTCTGCGAATCAGATTTACATGTACATATTTTCATATAGCCTGTGTTTTTAATTCTTCAAGTTAAAATGATTTTCTCATTTAACTACGTCACGCTTGTAGTATTGATTTTATGTGGTTCCATATAGATAAAAATCAAGAGATGTTAAATCTGGCTTAGATTGCGATGGCCAGGTTACCGTGCCATTACAGCCAATCCAACATTTAAATCGTTCATTTAAAAAATTCTATACTTCGAGAGGAATGAGAAAAGTATGAAAATGAGAAATGAGAAATGAGAAATAAGATTATTGAAACTAGACAGGAGATCATCGTCTAACAAATTCAATAGCTTCGCGTAAGAATTTCAAATATTTTTTTCCATCTAGTCTATTTGGAAAGAAATATTACCATACCAAATATTCACATTCCATCTTTCTTGGAAATGTGTTTCAGAAATTATATATATGCGGATTTTGAGTTGATTACTAATTTATACATATGTTTTCTTTTTTTAAGATTAAAAAAATAATAGAGTTAATTTTCAAATTTTTTAAATGTTTCCAACATCCAGATATATAATAATTACATGCAATATACTATCTGAAATTATTTCGTATGCAAAAATAATAATTGCCGTTGAAGTTCTGTGTGAAAGATATATTTAATATATTTAAACTAACACTTACTGGGACATTTAATATTATAGATATACATAAATGTACATAATATCAACATAACTTTAACAAATTTAAATTTCTTTATAGCCATAATTTACTCGATGCAAAAATAAATAGTGTATTATCTTTTTGTCATGACCAAGAAATATTGAATTCTGTACAAGCAATTATACAAAACATGATTGCATGTGAGGATGCAAGTCAACAACAGTTACATTATTTACAAAGTTGTGGATTTGGTGGGTTGTGGAGATTTGCAGGACCATTCACAAATGTAAGTACATAAAATAAGATAGAAATAGTAGTACAATCAAAAACAAAGAAAAAAAGTAAAAAATGTAATGAAAATTCATCTTTTTCAAAACAAAGGTGCTAACAAAAAAAATTTCATATATTTTTTAATTTTTTTATTTTTCTCGTAGAATCACTCTTTTTCAGGTTATACTTAGTATTTTCTGTATATAAATATATTATCAAACAAGTAATTAATTGTTTGGAACATATCGGAGAATCATATTGAAGAAAAAACGAAAATTAATAATAATATTTTGTGCTATGTATACGTATAATGTGCGTGCTATGTACATAAGAAAATATATGTAGAGGATGTCTTGCAACTCGTACACAATTAATTGGAAGATGATTCTATATGTAAAAATAAATCGAAAAGGATGAAAATTTTTTCATTAAAGCCAAAAATAGAGTTTGGAAATTTGTCAAGTTTACTTGATAAATAAATAAATAAAAAATATAGAATAGAATATTTTCATTTAAGGCTTTATTTTAAAAAATGTAAATTTTGAATATATTTTGTTGAAAACTGATTTGATATACTTATACTTGATAAATATTCAAATTTAATTTTCTCGCAAACGAAAACGCCTTATAGAAAAATTATGTTCTACATTCTTTATTTATTTTTGCATATAGAATAATTTTCTGATTATTCATTTCTGTTCAGTCCCAAAATTAGTTTAATTATATAATTATATAAATTTATTTAATTATATAAATTCAATTCATACTTAAGAAATATTCAATGTCGACTTTCTCGAAAATGAGACTTCAGACGAAAAAATGTATTCTTTCTTCTCGACTCACTTTTACATGTGAATTATCTTCCAGTTAATTGTTTATGAGTTGTGGAATATTTATAATATTTTATTTTAATAAAAATAAACAAAAATATTGTTATATTCTATACATTCTATGATTTTTTCAATTTTTATATTAAAAAATTAGATAATTCAAGTTTTATGCAATTCTTTTGACTGTTCTATTTAAAACTTAATGTTTACTATGTTGTAGTCTAATTGCACAGCTGAAAGCGCTCAATTATTTGTTAATTGCCTGGAAGCCATGGTGGAAACGTGTTTACCGGTAGATGAACCTGAAATATTAAGTAATAATGAAAATTCAAATGAAAAATATAAACGATCTGACAGTCATCAACCAGAAATCGCACAAAAAAGCAAATCTTATGGAACTGATCGGACAAGTTCCCGTGCTTTTCCGGAAAGAATGGAGGAAACTTCTCGGAGTAGTTCTTCTTTTATTTATAGAGAGTAAGTGAATAATAATTGATTATTATTTGAGGTTTTTTATTTTAAATCTCTTTAGGCAAATATACCAGAAGATATAGAAGAATAAAAATAAAACAGGAAAATATGAAAATATAAAAATATGTAAAACGTAAAAAATACTATGAACATAAATTGTATCTTTTCTTTTATATTTATATTATATACAGAATCCTTTCGTCGTACTTCTATTTCGTAGTGCTACATTGTAAGATTTGTATCACATGCCGCAAATGACTGCAAAACTGAACAGAAACCAAATCTATGGATCTGTATATAAGTTATTCTTGAAATAAAAATTGTTTTGAAAGTTACGCCAGCATTGGTATTATCTAATGTGCACTATGGGATAGTTGCTTCATTTAAATAGATTCAATTTTGTGTGCCATCATTTATGAAATTAGTAAATATTCAAATATTTGATGCTTTGCTTGAATAAGTTTATCTTCTTTTGAAGGAATTTTATTTCTTCTGTAATATTACTGCCCACAAATTTTTATATACTTCAACAATGTTACAAAAATGTTTCATATCCTCAAATATTGTTGGAAAACATTGTTGTTTAAATCTGTTAATACTAACAGCATATTAGCATTGAAGGTTTATATTACAAACTGAAATACTTCGAAAATATTTTAGTTTTAATTACAAGAACATATAGCACAACACATGGATTACAACTTAAATAGTTAAACTTGACTTTTACTCATCTTGTTTATTTAGTTATTTATTTATTTATATATAATCCTTGCCTAGGTGGCTTAGGATGGCTTCCGGTTTACAATGAGTTTACATCTTTCTTATTTTTTATTTCTATAGCTAATCCTTAGTCTTATGGATCTAATTTGTCTTTTGCTCATCTTCTTGTAGGAACTATAAGTAAAAGTAAAAGTAAAGTAAAAGGTAAAAGGACAACTACAATGTGAAAAAAAACTTTCTACTGTTTTCTACTATTGTTTTTTCTTTGGTATTGTCTTGCTGCTTCTTCTTCAGTCTTTTCCCCTCCTCCCTTCTGCGTTCCTTTATATGTCTATTCCTCTCAAACCCTTTATCCTCTTCTCCTCCACCTGTTCGTTTGACTCTTCTATTTCTCCTTTTCCTTTCCCGCTGTATTCTCTTCATCTGCTCTAGCCCTTCCGCGGTCCCCCTCAGCACTTCTTTTACTCTCGTAACTTCACATCTTCCTATCACGTGCCCTAATGTCTCCTCTTCCTCTTTGCATATTCTGCACCTTCTATCCTCCTCCTCTCTCCAGTGTTTCCTTCTTCTAATTTCGTTGCCGGAACTGAACCTTGCTATCAGGCTTCTTTTTTCCTTTCTCATCCTCCGCTTTAGGTATTCTGGCTTTTCTTTCGTTACAATTTCCTTGTAGTGTGCGTTGTACTTCGATTCTTCGATCTTCTCCTGCTCTCCCCTTCCATCTCCTCTACCTTTTTCCTTACTCTCTTTGCAACTCCCTCTATTTTTCCTTCTTTTTCCTCTCTAACTCTTTCCATCCAGTCCTCGCTGATTCTTAGTCTCCCCCTTAATCCTCTTTTTCTTTCTTCCCACCTACTTAGCTTTTTCTCCTCCGTTTGCCTTTCCATCTTCCTTATGCATTCTCTCACTAACTTCTTGTCTGAACTTCTTGCTCCTTCTTCATATTTGAACGCTCTCCTCATTGCTTTCGTTCGTATTTCCTCCTCTGTGTCTCTTCTCTGAAGATGTAGTTTGGTGTGACCTTGTCCAACCCTAGGATCCACTTCATATATCTCCTCTTGATAATGTCCAACCTTCCTTCATCATTCCAGCCCCAGATTTCTGCCCCGTACATCGCCACACTCTCCACTAAGGCCACGAACATCTTTATCCTTCTTTCGAAGTCTTCCTTGAACAACCTTTCTCCAATGTGCCACGTTCTTTTCATCGCCACCGCCGCTTTTTTTATTCTTTCCTGTATGTATTTCTCTGCTTTTCCATTCTTTTTCATTATGTAGCCCAGATATTTTATCTCCTTTACTTCCTCCAGTTCTTCTTCCCCCTCACCTTCATTCTCTCCTTCTCCTTCCTCTTTCTCTGCCCCTTTCGATTTCACCTTAGATTTCTCTGTATTTACAGTTAGCCCTTTCCTCTCTGCATACTTCCTAAATCTTCTCAGCATCCCCTTCATCCCCACTTCTGTCGTCGCTACAAGCACGATGTCATCCGCGTACACTATAGTCCGCCTTCTCTCTTCCTATCACAACCTTTCCTGCATCTTGCTCATGTCCTCTTCTAAGTCCGACAAAAATGCATTAAAAAGGGTTGGGCTTAGCGGGCATCCTTGTCTTACCCCTCTTGTTCTATTCTTCTGTTCTCTCCTCCTCGATTTTCACCATGTTGCCTGTTTCCCTGTATATTTCTGTTACTCTTCTTCTTAAGTTCCCCTTCACCTTCATTGCCTCTAATCTTTCCATCAGAGCTCTCCTATCGACTTTGTCGAATGCCGCTTTCAGATCTACGAAACAGGCAACCAGCTTCCCTCTTTTTTTACTTAGTTCCTTGTTTACCATGTAGTTCAGGACATATATGGCGTCAATGGCTCCTCTCCCCACTCTTAACCCAAATTGCTTCTCCGCTAATTTCCCCTCTATGTCCTTCTTCACTCTTTCATTGAGGATGCTTGCATATACTTTGTACGTTACCAGTAGTGTTATTCCTCTATAGTTTTTGGCCTTGTCTTTCGCTCCTTTTTTGAATATGGAGCATATTATCCCCCTTCTCCAATCCCGTGGTATTCCACTTCCCATCCATATCTTATTAAGTAGCTTGAGAAATGCTTCTCCTACTTCCATGGGCATAAACCTCCATGCCTCATTTTGTATTTCGTCGCTTTCTTTCTCTTTAATTTGAGCAGCTGTTTTATTACTTCTTCCTTCTCTTCATTGTGCTCCTATTTTTTCCTGCTTTCCTGATTGTCCTTGTGTCCTTCCAGTAGTTCCATGAAGTGCGACTTCCAGTTTTTCATTTCGATACTTTTGTCTATTCTTTCCCTTTGTTTCCTTATCTGTTTATGTATTTCCACGCTTCACTTTCCGTCTTGATCATCCTTATCTTTTCTTCCTCCCTCCTCTCGTACTTTTCCCTTTCTTTTTCGCACCACTTTTTGTATTTCTTCCTTTTGCCCCAGAACTCTTCTCTGCTTATCCTGCCTTTTCTTAGTTTTCTTAATTCCTTTCTTAACTCTCTCTTCCTCTCCGTCCACTCCTTACTGTGCCATGCCCTATCTCCCATCCTCCAAACTTTTACTTCTTTACCTCTTTCTTTACCGCTTCGTTGATTTTCTTTTTTAATGCCTCCTTAATGCCATATACTTTCCACGTCCTCCTCTTCTACTTTCCATTCTCTGTATCGGTTGTGATAGCTCTCTATCTCTTCCTTCGACCAATCAGCCGTTCTTATCAGCCTACTCTTCTCCTTTCTTCCTTTCTTGTCTTCCTCTTCTACGCGTTTTTCTCCTACCACCACTTCCAGTGGGAAGTGATCTGACTCTGTCCTCTCTCTTTCTCTTACATCTGCTATCCCCTCAAATGATTCTGCGTTTGCAATCAACTGATGCCCCTCTTTCTCCTATACATGTCCACTCTCCCTCTCGCCCAAAATATCCATTGACAACCAACCCCTCTCAGTCCCTCTATTAGTATCCTCCCCTCCCTATTCACGTTCTTGTCCTTCGATCTTCTTTCTTCCTTCTCTTCTGTCATCATTTCTTTGAATGGGCCTTCCTCCTTCCCGACCCTTGCATTAAAGTCTCCTCCCAGTATCAAGAGTCCTTCTTCTCTTTCTTCTGTCCCTTCTGTGATTGTCTGCATTATTTCCTTCGTGTTCTGACTGTACACTGTTATTATTCGCCAGCTTTTCTTCTCATGCTCTAACTTTAACTCTGCCATCTGATTACTCTATTTCTTGAATTCTACCACTTCTAAACCATTTTTTGCAACCATCATAATTTCTCCCTTTGCCCTTCCCATCTTGTTCTTTCTTACTGCCGACACGTGCCACCAATTGAACTTCTCGGATAGTTTACTTTTTAATTTCTCTCCCGACTTCTGCTCCAATCATGTTTCCACTAGACCTATCACATCTCATAGCTTTCCAGGTACCTCCACACACCCTACTCCAGCTAGAAACACGTTCCATGTAGCTTTCAAATTCCTCGTTAAATTCTATTCTCGCCTCTTTTTCCTCTGTTTCTCCATGCTCCCCCGTCCCACTTCTGGTCCCTTTTCCTTCATGAACTTTTTCATCGTCCCTAATTCCCCTCTTAGCTTCCTTCTATTTCTTGTTCTTACCGTTTTAGTCGCCATTTTCTTAACGTCTCTTTTTGCTTCCTTCTTGCCAAATTCTTCTATCTCTTCTGCTGCCTACCTCCAATTTATTTTCTTCACGCTTTCTGCTCTTATTACTCTTCTTCTCCCTGCCTCTCTTCTTCCTCTTTTCTCCTCAATTACCGAAATCTCACTCACTCTGTATCTTTCGTCTCACACACGTCTTCACACTTACGCCGTCCAACTATGAAAGTCCTACTCATCTTGTTAAGATCATTGCAAGATTAAATAAATATTAGATAAACATAAAATGAAATATGTTATACTTATTACTCGGATAAAATATTTATCTACAGAAATAGAATGAAATATTTTAAACGTTATATATGTAACATAATATTTATATAATTTTATTATTTATATAGTTCTATATTGTTTTCAAATATATTTTATTTAGTTTTAAGACAATTTAAAATATTAATAATAATGATTTTAGTCGTAGTATAGATAGCCGACGAGATATTTCGTTGGATTCTGTGAGCCAAGGAGAAAATACGAGTAGTAGTAACAATTCACAACCTTAGCGATTAGTATATGAATCTAAAAAACAGTGGGGTAAACATGGACGAAAAGGACAAGTTGGTCGAAAATTACAAAGACAACTAAGGTATGTTTAATGTACAACGCTTTATTGAAAAAATGTTTAATACAAAAGTTTCAGAATATAACTGTTATACAACTGTTGCTTTTTATTTGTTAAGCATCTCTAAGATTATATGAAGCTTTTTGCAAATGAGAAGATACATTTCTTTTAGAGATACTTATTCTGTGGTAAAAAAGAGGAAACTTTTGTATGAAACATTTTTTTATAAAACTTCTTTAAAAAAATATTTGATAAAATACAAATTAGAAACTTAAATGATATGAACGAAATTTGTTTAATTTTTTTTATTATTTATTTAATTTTTTTTAAGAAAATGAAATCAATAATAATTATATTTTTTATGTTATTTTTAAATTATATAATAAATCACAATATTGTTGTACAATTGTTAGAAATGATTTTCAATATGTTCTTCATCTCATGCTAGGGAATGGTAGTCTGTTCAAATTTTATTCTTTTTTTTAGTAAACATAGTGTATATACGTATTTAAAATTATGTATATTACTATGTTTTATATTTTAAATTGTTTTATATTTTTGAATTGATGCATATAGATATAAAAATTATTATAATAAAAAAATATTATATTAAATAATTAAAATTTGTAATATCTATGATAAATATTGTGATTATTGTTATATGTAGTATTGTATTTAGCAAATTAAAATTAAATAAGATAAATTTATGTATAGAATATGTAAAAATTATTTGTCCAGACCAGGGCATGTTTTTATTTCCTATAGCTTTGGATTGGTGGAAATTTGTTTAAAAAAATAGCTGTAAAATTGACCTTGACCTTGAAATTCAAGTCCAAATGGCATCGTAGTACTCGTCACGAAAAACAAAAGTCTTAAAGGAAATAAATTGCGATTATTTTAAAAAATAATTTTAAGACATTAATTGCAGTTTCTGCGCAATAGAAAGTTTAAGCTTGCAACTGACTAAGGAAACTTTGTAATTAAATAAAATTTGTCAAATATGGACGCGTAAAAGCTCTATAAGACTCAACATATTTAATAAGTATTTGAAGTATTTAAAACTATTTAAAAAGTAAAGAAAAATATTAAGCAGTTTACGTAATATAGGTATTGTTGGTTTAAGAAATGTTAAATGATTATAAGATGTTGAAATGATTCGTTACTAATACATTATGTTCTGTAATAAAATATAAAATAAATTAAAATGAATTAATTTTTTACGCGAAAATTGTGATAATATCAAATATTTTGTATAGTTATCTTTTTGTCACGGACTGTAGTTTTTCGATATGACGTTAGCGATAGAACTATTTGTTGCATAATAAGTATACGCATCTAAATAAATATTGAAATACATTCCAGAACCCGGATCATGGTATTATAATATATAGTTTTATATTTTAATAAAGAAACAAAGAAAATTAACGAATAAGTGAACAAATCAAATGTTATTATGAATGTAATTAAAACTTAAACAATACAGTTTAAATAATAGGCTTTACTATCAGATCGTATAAAAAAATCTTTATTTAGAAAGACTATAGCAAATGCTCTTTTTCTGTTGAAATTCTGTGTTATTATGTAATTCGAAATTTTCACTAGCTAATAAATCGTAGAGTGATTTGCCCTGCAGCTATTAATGATCAATCATAAAAATTTTAGTGTTAATAAAATTTAAAATATATTGTATTTATAATTAAATTTTTTGAAAATTTAATTATAAATTTATCTATTAGTGAGAATAAACGTATTGATCTGAAACTGAAATTGTCTAGATCAAAATTGTCATTCCCAAACTTATTTGGTCTAGCGTTCCTTTTTTAGATAAAAAATTACTCAGCATCTCTCTGAAAATCTACCTTTTTTTATTCTTGAATAAATATAAAAATGCAGTGACAAATTTGCGTTATTTTATGTATCTATATTTCTACTTATGTCCTCCAATATAGTAAAAAGATGTTATTGAAAATAAGACACATTGAAATTTAAAATTATAAAATTATCCGGTCGATTGCATTTTGTGTGTTTATTTTGAAAACAAAATATCTAATCACTACGATTTTACACAATAGATAAAACATATACGGACGATTTTTCAAAATTTTTTTGTTTTGTTTCTTTATTCTTTCGTCACCTCCCTATATTTATTCAACTTCTTTAATTATCGCCCTCCTGAATCATTCCAGCGTCCATCAAGCGATATCGCCCATTTTGGGAAGCACTAATCTAAATGATTCACGCGACTTTAGAATAAGAATTACCACTTTCCACATAGACAGAAAGTAACAAAAGTCGATGAATGAAATATGTAATAAATGTGGTAGTATTCTTTAAAGGAATATTTTAAGGCTGTTTGCTTTAACGGCCTTAACATTTCTCAAACTTTTAATTAAATGTTGTATATAATAAAGCTGGTAACAAAATCACTATCAAACAAATAACAAAAAAAGTAAACTGTAACGAAAATGGAATTTGAATTATTAATTACGTCGTTAATGATATTCTCTTTAGGAGATGAATGGTTAAAGTCGTCGTTATGGCTCAGTAAAAGCATTTTCGTCTTTTTGAATTCATTGGACAATTGCCATCTACGAAATGAGAAATGAGTCTATCAATAGATTTGCTTATAATCACTTTCTACGTAAATCAAAATGTGTGATTTTTGCGAATGAGTTACTTTCATTCTACGAATCAGTTTCAAGTTACAAAACTAATCATGAAGGTTTTTAATATTTTCCATAACAATCGAGTAAGCAATTTTATGTTTATATTGTTTTTTAGAAATTCTTTAAGAAGGCATCTCTAGTTAGTATCCTAGAAGAATTCTCCGATGCGTAGAAAAAAAGCTTTCTGTTTTTAAAATAAAAGAAACATATATAATTAAAATAAATTATTATCATTATATAATACAAATAAAAGAAACATATATAATGTGTCTGCGCATTTTTTCACATTAATAAGATCATTTAAAATTTTCATTATTTTAAAATTCAAAAGAAAATATCGTTGGTATTCAGAAATTAAGTATAACTTTACTAATTAACATCACTGGCCTATGAAAGCAATGAAGCAATGGAAAGACTCAAGTTTTATTATGAAATGTTTTTTATTAGATGATATATGTGTAGGATGTATGATGTTATAACTATTTTTGCAAAAGTGGTCATATAATACACTCTCAATTTATTTCTCATTGAGTTACCCCAAAAGCGATATTCATTGTGCGATATATTCTTTTATTGTAAACAATCACTTTTTTTGAGAATCTGAATAGAAGAAGTAAAAGTAACTTTTATAGTAATTTTGGGAGAATATAAACGTTTAAAGATGTTTGGAGTTTGAATAATTGAAATATTTTATCTAATTCACATATCTTACAAAAGTGCTAGAAATTGTGCCTCATTGTTGAATTTGTATTATTAGCTAATGATCGGTGATTAAAGAAATGTTTCTTTTCAATAAGAGCGCAAATTTAAGATTATAGCTGTTGATGTCTTATAATTATGGAAAAGGGAAAAATTATGAAGTAGCTGTTAATTTCCTAAAAACATGAATAAGAGTTTGAGTTAGGTTTGGGTTAGGTTAATAGTGTCTAAATATACAATTTTAGAGATTTATGAGATGTTAATTTCAGTATAATACATTGCTTATACTGCCTAAGAATTGAAGAACATAATGAATAAACTTTTTGATTACGAAGGAATAATAATAAAATGCTAATTCAAATTTTGATTAAATTTAGATTTAATTTAAATCTTTTCTCACTGCTCTCAACTTAATTTTTGTTATATTATCTTCGTTTTATTCTTTTCTTTCCCATGGTTTTCCGTCTCTTCCTTCTCTTTCCAGTTTTTCTGCTCTCTTATTCAAAGTAATAATAATAGTAATAGTTTTTGTGATAGTTTCTTCTCGTACAACCATATACAACCATGTACAGAAATGTCAAGAAATTATTTGCCATAATCTTCATAGCGTGATTCTACACCTTCGAATCGATGAAGATCTGTTAAAAAAGTCGACCGCAAAATTGACCTCGACCGGTTTTTTTAAGGTCAATTTTTTTGTTTGCATCGTATTCTCATCGTATATTCATCGAGAAGATAAAATGTCTCAAAGTAACTATATGTCGGAAATGATCCCTGACTTTTGTTCCGTTAATTGATCATTAATATAGTCCAATCATTTGGTTACCCAGTATTCCATACCACACATTAACGCTCCATTGACGTTGGTGGTCAATTTCTCTCCAGCAAGGATTTTCTGGTGCTCAATAGTGCATGTTTTTTAAATTAATCTGCCTGCGATTAGTAAACGTTGCTTCATTGGTGAACAACACTTTTTGTAGAAAAAAATTATCATTGTTCATTTGATGCAGGAACCACTGGCAGAACCGAACGCGGTTTTCATAATCCGTTCCATGGAGCTCCTGATGAAATGCTAGGTGATAGATGTTTTTCATTATGAAGAATTCGTACTACACTTGTTTTGCTAATGCCAGAACCTCATGAAATCTTCCGTGTATTAATATGGGAATTTTCTGTTACCACTGCTAGGACCGCAATAGTATTTCCAACAGAAGTAGCGGTTTAGTGACATTAAAATTTCCGATTCGTCGAAGCGATTCACACATTCTCTTAAATAATCATTCAGAATACATTTCGGCATACATAACTTTAGCTCTTATTGCATTTTTACGGCACTCATCATAAATTAAAAGCATATCAAGTTTTTTGCTGTTACAAAATTTCATTGCTGCTTTTATCTGCCTGATAATCACGCACAAACACTGACGGTAACTTCAATACTGAATGATGAACGTGATAGAAGATTGCGGATCATAGTAGACGTTCTATTGATGAACATTGTCATGTAAACATCGCTGTCCTGCGGAAATTTGTGATAAGGTTGAATCTGCAACTTGATATTACGTGAAAAAAATTTTCAAGAAATAAAGTGA